CTATCTATCTATCTATCTATCTATCTATCTATCTATCTATCTATCTACCTACCTACCTACCTATCTATATATATATCTATAAAGACATTTTCACCTGAAAAAAATTGGTAGGAACTTAAATGGAGCTGTGCTTTTTATAAAACAGGGAATTTCTACCTAATCCAACATTCCCTCCTGAAATGGTTATCCAGGAAATCCACAGGCATGATAGGAGCCCAGCACCAACAGAGCCGGTGGTCAGGAATGATCAAGGCAAAAATAACATCTGGAGGGCCACCGTTTTGACATAAATATAAATGTGAATGAAGAAATATATATTTTCACAGCATGAGGACATATGCCTTTTTTAAAAATGTCATGTCTCTGAATATGGAAATCCTATGGAAAACATCTGGGTAAGATTAAAGAGTAAAAAGTGGTACCTTTGTGGGCATCAGCTGAAGGCCACCTACTCAGATAGAAGACGTGGACGATGGCTTTTAAAATCCTAGCTCCAGTACAGATAGTCCTTGACTTACGACCATAACGGAGCCCAAAATGTAAGTTGGTAAGCAAGGCAGTTGTTAAGTGAGTTTTGCCCCATTTTATCACCTTTTTCTTGCTACAGTTGTTAAGTGAATCACTGCAGTTCAGTGGTGGGATTTTAATTTTTTTTACTACCGATTCTGTGGGCGTGGGGGTGTGGCAGGGGAAGGATACTGTAAAATCTCCAGTCAGAGGTGGTATTTGCCAGTTCTCTGAACTACTCAAAATTTCCGCTACCAGTTCTCCAGAACTGGTCAGAACCTGCTGAATACCCACCTCTGCTGCAGTTGTTAAGTTAGTAACACAGTTATTGGATACATCCTATTGGCAAAACTGGTGAAAACCAACTCTGAAAGTTCCCGCGGTTTTTACCTAATTAAAAGAGAAAGTCTTCCTCCTTTTCCCCCCAAGTCATCAGTCACATGGTCCAATCGAGGTGCTGGCCAGTTGCTTGGTTACTTTGCTCCTCCCCTCCCAGCCACCTGTTAGAATGACCTTGGTTCCTACAGGAAAACCTTTTGTTTGCAAAACCCCAGTTAACTATTTCCCTCCCCCTCCCATCCAGTGGCAACCCTGAAGCCTCAAAGATGGCCCCAGCCAGGTTCGCTTCAGGGTTGACATTGAGCCGTCACTAAATGAATGGGTGTAAGTCATGGACTGCCTGTAATCAAAGGACTAGAACTCACAGTCTCCCAGGTTCGAGGCCAGAGGTGTCAAATTGGATTTCTTCAAGGGCCGGATCAGCATTGTAGTTCTCCTCTGTGTGCTGGCAGGGGGGAGATGGGACAGATGCCTCCTACAGTACCCTGCCGGCCCCAACGGGGCGTGGGGGGGCTGGGGGGGGACCCCTCTTTGCCCCCTTTTTGGCCTGAATGGCCTCCTGCAGTACTTTACTGGCCAAAACATGGTGTGGTGAGGGGGCAGCGTGCAGCTTCCCCGTGCCCCATTTTTGCCCTCCATGGCCTCCAGCAGCACTCTGCCGGCCAAAAACGGGCACTTCGGAGGCCTCCCATTTTCGCCAGCTGAGTGCTGCAGGAGGCTGTGGAGGCCGAAAACCGGCTGCCGGAGGGAGGCACAACGCCCATTGTAGCCGACAGAGGCATTGCGGGCCAGTCTTTTCCAGGCTGGCCCCACAGGCCGAATATAAGCACCCCTGTTCTAGGCTGATTTTCAATTTCATTGTACACATGTTGTGCATTGACAATAAATGTTTGGTTGATTGATTCTTTAACCACTACACCTAATAGGCTCTCACCATTGCCTCGGTAGCAGCTTTTTCTTCTTCTCTTCCAGGCCATTTCCTTTTCCCTCTACAATCCGGTAGGAAAATGTAACACATAGAGCCATAATTTAAGAATTCTGTTCTGATATTGGCCTTCTGTCAGGCATTTTTCGGTGGATTTCTGAACTGGCTAAAGGGTTAGATTAGGTGACAGTCCCTTCCAGCTCCTACGTTCTAAATTTATATCTGTAAATTCAGTTAAACACGAGAAACATTGTCATTTAACTGTAAAATACACCCCTCTCTGGGTTTCTGAAGCCCTGCTTATTATAACTCCCGTCAGTTTCTCACTTTCTGGGAGAAGACATGGTGGTTTGCAAGGAAGGAATTGAAAAGTTGAAGTTTTCAATTGGTGGGCTTTGACCAGCTTCTTCAAAACAACCCACAGAAAAAGGCAGAGAATGTGCCATTTCCTTAGATAAACAAGCAACATTTTGAAAAGAAAAAAAAAGTGCATCCCATAATGATGACCATGGATGCCAACCAATCTTCTGTTAAATGTGTGGAAAAATCACAGGTTTTGTATCGGTCAAGACAAATATGGATCTCTGTGTGTGTATTTTGAAGGGGAGGGGGAATATGGAACTGTGTTACACAATTTGTTTTATCAACTTTAATACAGAATAAAATACAACTTGCCTCCAGAAGTTGTGAATGCTCCAACACTGGAAGTTTTAAAAAGATGTTAGATAGGGTTTCCAGCCTGAACAGGGGGTTGGACTAGAAGACCTCCAAGGTCCCTTCCAACTCTGTTACTCTGTTCTATTCTAAACATACATTTCCTTAATTTCATGAATGCCAGCATATTCTCATTCTTATTCTTACAATTAAAAAGATAGTCTCTCCATTTCTGGATTTGTATTTCTGCTTTCATAGAGACTATTTAACTATTCACCCAGTGAAATACACCTTGATGGTCGAGTGGGTTTTATGCTGCAGATGTTAAAGAGGCATATTGTACGGTAGTTAATTAATATTTAGCGTGTCCCCTTCCCCAAGACTTAGAGCAAACAAATTGAGGGGAGGAAGGATGTTTTGGGCATTCTGAAGTTTTGGTGTGCTTTCAAAGTAGAAGGCGTGGTAAATACGGCCAAGTAGAGTTTGGTTTAGTGGCTAAGGCAGCAGATTAGAAACTGGGAGACAGTTAGTCCTAGTTCTTTCTGTTTTAGGCATGAAAGTCAGCTGGGTGACTTTGGGCCAATCACCAGGAGACTGTGAGTTCTAGATGGTACAGAATATTAAAAACAAGCACAAACAGGATGAAAAACAGCTTCTATCCCAGGGCAGTAGCTCTTTTGAATTCTACTGTATAGTGCAGTGTTGGTGCAGTGTTACGGGTTTTCGGTTCAATGTGTGGAGTGTGAAGGATGTGTATTTGTGTTTATTTTCATGGTCACGATATGCACTGAAGATGGTGTTTTATTTCGTTGTATGAGGTGCAATGGCAATCAAGTAAACTAACTAACTAACTAGTTCTATCTTAGGCATGAAAGTCAGCTGGATGATTTTGGGCCAGTCACCAGGAGATGGAGAGTTCTAGTCCCACCTTAAGCCTGAAAGCTGGGTGACCACAGGCCAGTCATTCTCAGCTCTACTCACCTCATATTGTTGTTGTGGGGAAAATAGGAGGAGGAAGGAGTATTGTATCTGTTCTCTTGCCGTAATGTGATAAGTTGGGCACTTTTATTAATTGAAATTAGAAAAAGCTATCTGAATCTGATACCTAGGCAACACTGTATTTTTGCTGCTTTTAGCAAATACTCTGATGAAGTTTTCTTTAGCCACTGAAGTAGTCAACAGTACAGATGGTCCTCAATTTATGACCATAATTGAGCCCCAAATTTAGGTTGCTTAATGAGAAATTTGTTAAGTGGGTTTTGCCCCATTTTACGACTTCCCTTGTCCCATTTGTTAAGTGAATCACTGCAATTGTTAAACTAGTAACACCATTATTAAGTGAACCTGGCCTCCCCATTGATTTTGCTTGCCAAAAGGTTCATAAAAGAGGATCACATGACCCCAGGACCATCATAAATGTGAGTTAGTTGTCAAGCATCTGAATGTAAATCACATGACCATGATGATGTTGCAGTGGTTATAAGCATGAAATACAGTCATGTCACTAAGCAA